AAGCAAACCAGGAGATCGAAACAACAGACCGGTCGCTCGACGCGACAATTCAGAGCAGAGCTGCCGCTCCTATGTCCGAACCAAGTTCAGCTATACCCCTTTTCTTTTTATGTGACAAGGCAAGGTGCAATTTCCATAGCTTAGGTGATTTTAAAATTTTTCCATGTTGTTTTTTAATGTGCACCTCTTGTAAACAAGTAATGTCCATATTCTGCTTTTGGAGCCTTGCTAACATTTTTCTTCTTTTAACCGGAGAGTTCAGTCCATTTATGTTAATTGATATCAAATTAATTTCCTGTTCCATATTGTTGTTTATATAGAGTTTGTATTCCTCTCTTTACCCTTGCTTCTCTTTGCAATCTCATCCTTATCCTTTCTTCTTCTTGATGATCCATTTCCACCCTTTCTTTCACTTCCTGATCACGTTTTTTTTCTTCCAGTTGTTGTTCCTCTTGGCTTTTGCTCTCTATGTCTTCTTTACTGTCCTGTTCTTCATCAGATACTAAATAATGATCATAAAATTCCTGTGCTTTGTCAAGTGTATCAATATGGAATTTTTTTTCTTGCCATGAAATGAGCATCCCTTCTGGTAACAGCCACCTAAACAGTATTCTATTTTTAATTAGTTGTGATGAAAGAAAGTTATAATTTCTTCTTTGCTGTCTTATCCTTCTGGGAACCTTTTTTAATGTCACTATTTCTTGTCCTTTGTAAGTCAATGGCTCATCTCTTCTTAGATACGCTTAATCTGTAGTCGTTTTTCTTGTAAATCTTACATGTACCTCCCACAGTAGTGTCTCCATGCATAATTGGTAAATATTCTAGAAAGAGTAAACATAAAATAATACAGATATATATCTTCTTAGTTAATTATAGTTAATTAATTAATTAATTATACCATCAATTACAGTAACTTTTACCTTCTTATTTGATATATTTATCTCTACTATTTAAGAATAATTAAGATATTTAATATTCTCTATAGATGCACAGTCAGATCTCCTTCAGTCAAAATGTCTTCTTTCTATTCTGCACAGTGACTGCACAGTCACTATTCCAGTCTCCTGTCTGTCTTGCTTCTTTCGAGACTTCTTTCTTCTTCTCTATCACTCTAAAGGGGTCATTAGAAATCTCATTCCAAACCTTGTTCACAGCACATAAAAGAAAACAGTCATCCAATTCAAGTGCTAAAAAGTTAGTTTTTTGTTATATTCTAGCCGATGCCCACTCTGGTCTTCCAACTCCAGTCACTCCTTCCTCTCCAACCGTCAATAACAAAGTTAATAGCTTGTTCTTTATCTTCCGCTCCCACCGCTAAGTCGCCAATTCTTCCTTCCCCGGAGACTCACTTGTCCACCAATTTATAGGACATTAAATTTCTGAGATTTCAGTACCTCTCTTCGTCGATTTTCACCACTACAACACACTGCTTCCCTCTTTCACTTCCTTCTTCATTTGTTCAGGCCATCATGCCTCTGGACCTGGCCATAAGACCGATCTCTTCCACACTGGTTTTCAAGGGGTTTCCTCTTACTGCAGCGGGGGTTCGCGACTCCCCCGCTGCCCTCAGAGCTTCCCCTCTATATTGCAGACCTCTCCAGGGTCCTTCGTCGCCTCTTCAAGCTTCCAAGCGTGCAAATTTGGACATTCAGAGCAGAGCTCCGCTCCTATGTCAGCACCACCATGACGTCACCAACCGGAAGCCCATTACAATTCTTATGGTCCCGATTGTCCCTGCTTCATGACAGCCCAAAAATGGCTGTCATCCCTGCTGTTGTTCAGGGAGAGCTTGCTTCAGACCTAATGAGGAAATTGTGGGTTTCCTCGTGGTCAACGAAGCGTCTCCCCTTCCTTCACCACCCCTCCATGGCAGCTATGTCCCCGAAGGGTCTCCTGACAGCAGTTACTGGCTGGATTTCATAGGACTCAGCAGAGCCCGCTATTTCCCAGCCATTCTTGAAGCGACATCAACTGGTCTTCCTCCCAAGATCCATTACACTTTTAGAGTTGAAAATACTGACTGAAAATGTATGTTGTTCTCACTGTTATCTGAGGTTTACAAAATATTTAGCACTCTAAACACCTTGGTTATTTCAAGCTCAGAATGCTTCTGTGAAGTCTGAACAGCCCTTTTTCAAGCTGATTTTTTTTTCCAAGCTGAAAAGAGATATGTTGATCTCAGAACATTTCAAATTTGAAACATTTTGCATGCTTACTGCAATTATCCTTTCAGAATGTATTGTATATTCTAAGTATTTATGTCATGGTATTTTTTTCTTCTTGAGTAAGACTTTTATGTAACACTCAGTTCTAGATCAGTAGTTCTCAGTGTGGGCAATTTCCAGGTGTATCACCTTGAACTGCCAGGATTGTCAACAATATCCGTGTTGGATAAGAACTGTCAAAAATAAAGTCCATGTATTTGGAAGTTGCCCAAGTAGGGAAATGCTGATGTAGATTCACAAGTTAATAAAGATACATATTTTAAGTATTTAAACTAACATTTAAAAGTTCTGGTAAATTCAAACTTTTTCTTTATTTTCCAGATATAATTTGGGTGATTATAATGGAGAGATCATGTCTGAAGTAATGGTACATCGACAGCCCATAACACCTACTTATGCTGTTCCTGTTATTTCTGTTGCTAATAGCACTCAGTTTAAACACCCAGAAAGTATGGAATTGAAGGAATTTAAAATAAACAAGGTGACTAAATCTATCTATCATTATGCATATTACTTACTTGAAAAAATTGTTCCTTTATAATTTTATGCTATCAATGTGCTTAAACTATGTGAATTGTTAATTTCATTCCAAAAGATTTCAAGATAACTGCTATCTAGGTAGATACAGGTAGTCCTCGAGTTACAAATGTAATGGACCCTGCCCATTCCATTCTTCACCTGAGGATTCGTGGGAGTGAATCTCGTACCGTGAATGGGATCACTCCTTTCGCCCACACATTCGCTAATTGAATGTGAGGCTCATTAAGTGCACATGAGGTATTTCAGAGTGGGGAAGGCAATGGGGGGCCTTCTGATGGAACAGGCCACCTGCCTAAGACCGCCCAAGGCCTCCCTGACACACTGAAATACCTCATGCTCCCCACAATTGCTTGCCCCCCCCCCCCCCTGCTGTGCCAGGTCACTTAACTTGTGAAGATCTAGCAAGCAGTCTCCTCTCCAGCCTCGTGTGCCCCTCTGCAGTTCCATTCGGGCCTCTGCAGGCCTTGCTTGGCAGGTTGCTGGCCGAAATGGAGCTTCTGAGGGGCAAATCTGGCCCTTTGACACTCCATTTGGCCTTCCGTGGGCCTCCCCCATCCCGTTGCAGGCCAAAATGGAGCCTCCGGGGGTTGGATATGGCCCCGGAGGCTCCATTTCATCATGCAACAGGCGGGGTGAGGCCTCTGCATTGATGAATGGGGCTTCCAAGGGGCAATTTCGCCCCTCAGAAGCTACATTTCAGCTGGCAAGGTACAGGACAAATGTTGCAGAGTCTGCGGTTCTTCGTAAAGGTGAACGACTGCCGTGGTGCTGCAAGATTTGTAGTTTCGGGCCTTGTTTGCAAATGCTAGCAGATGCTTATTGTGTAACTTCTTTCGCTAAGGGACCATTCGTAACCTGGGGATTACCTGTACTCTTACTTATTATTCTCTGTGGTAAGTAATTTTGATAGTCTATTAGGTTAAAGCTTCCTATGAACTAATCCTGTTTGATCTTGAAAATCTAAGCAAAATCAGACTTTGTCAGTATTTCAATGGGAGACCACCAGGAAATCCCGGGGCTGTGGTCTCGATTGTGAAGTTGTAAAAAAATGCAGAAGAAAATTCTTACTAGAAATGTTCATGAAGTCACCATGATTTGCAGTCAACTTGAAAGAGCCTTTACCTGATTCTCTATTAGGGAAGGAGAAATCCCTCTTTACCTCTCATTTTATCACAATGGTACATTTTAAAAAAAGTTTCTAAAACTTAGATCTTCTTTCTCCTAATTGACTTACTCAGATAAAACCATTAATGCATTTTCTCTTCATGCAGCAAGAGAAAGCTGATGCTATACGACCAAAGAGAAAATATGAGAAGAAGCCCAAAATTGTATCTTCATCAGTTGCTCTTGCTACTCAGCAGTCAACTCCTGCTGCACTGAATCAGTACGACTTTCCCAGCTCTGATGAAGAACCTCTTTCTCACGTATGATGTCTACAGTTTCTTTGGTTCAGAGGGAAGAAAGATACTTGCGTCTTTATACTTATCTACTACTTTCTTTTTGAAGGTCTTGTCTGGCTCTTCTGAAGTTGAGGAAGAAAATGATCCTGATGGGCCATTTACTTTCCATAGGAAAGCAGGCTGTCAGTATTATGCTGTAAGTTTTGAGTTTCTACAGTACTGTGTTGTTACAGTTATTAATTAAATTCATGTTTTAACACTTTTCAATTATTTCTTTTCAAAGCCTCATTTAGAACAAACTGGTGACTTGCTGTGGAATAGTCCTAAAGAGGCAACATTAGGAGATGAGCATTACAGATACTGCTTAACCACCCTTACTGTGCCACACAGGTGCATTGGATTTTCACGTAGACGGATTGGACGTGGTGGAAGGTAGTCTTATTTATCGTAAAACTCACTACACTAATATCATATTGAAAAGTATGAACATGATGCAGAAAAGCAATTGAAATGTAGTTGTTAAATATGTTTTCTGTGTTATTTAAATTAAAAATTTATGTACTAATTAGGCATCTGTATTCTTAAATCTACATCTTCGACTTTATTATTATCTCCCTTCTGTTACAGAAACACACAACCTTATTGTGACTTTCCCCCTTATCTTTCCCCCCTTGAATCCATTTTAAATCCATGATTTAGAGCAGGGGTGTCAAACTCAATTTCATTGAGGGCCACATCAGGGTTGTGTTTGACCTCGGGCCAGGGGTGGGTGGGCGTGGCCATGGTGGGCATGACACAGGACTCGTGTTGGGGGCACCCTTGGTGGCCAATTGCTAAGGCAGGACTTCCCTGAGACCCTCCCTCACTCTCATTATATCCTTCCTACCTTTTAATTTCTTCTTCCTTCCCCTCTTTCCTTATTTTTCCTTCCTTGCTCTCTTCCCATCTTTCCTTCTTTTTCTTTGTCTTTCCTTTCCTTTCCTTTGTCTAACCTTTCTCCTTTCCTATCCCTTCCTGCATGCTCAAATGCAAAAGAAGAAACATTTCTCCTTTTGTTTTGTTTTTAGTTTGTTTTGATAGCTCTCTGCCAGCAACAACAGAGCTGGGGGGCCATGCCGCGCCCCGTTTTCGGACTGGATGGTCTGCAGCTCTCTGCCAGTGCCCCCCCAGGCTCTATTTTTGCTAGCAGAGGCACCTCGGGCTGGTCCTTTGCTGTTTCCAGGCCTTCCCATGGGCCAGATCTAAGCACCCCGCCGGCCGGATCCAGCCCACGGGCCTTGAGTTTGATAACCCTGATTTAGAGGCTTGCACTAATTATATTTCTTTTCTTTTTTTTTAAACTTTATTACACTTTTATTAAATTAAAAACATAAAAAATAAATTACTCAATAACAGCAATTTTTAGTGCTTATCTTATAACAATAATTCGTGTATTATTTACAGGTGTTAATCTATACGTGATTACATTCTTATCTATTACTTATATTTGATAGCTACCTATCTTTAATCTATCTCCGTTCTATCCAATTATACCTTTGTTCCCACATTTTATAAAATATCGAAGCCTCTTTATCTTTTAAGCTCAGCGTAAACTTATCCATTTCCACACAGCTCATAACTTTTTGTATAATAACTTTCTCTGAGGGTATGGATGGCTGTTTCCAACATTGAGCAAAGCTGATCCTGGCAGCAGTTAATATGTGTAATAATAAGTATTCTGTGCTCTTTACATATTTCTTTTTAAAAATCCCCAATAGGAGGAGTTCCAGTTCTAGCTCTAATTGCTCGTTAGTAATTTCCTGTAACCATTCCTTGATTTTAAGCCAACATTTTCGAGCCTCTGGGCAGGACCACCACATATGATACCCTGTTTCTCCAACAATACGGCCTCCCCCAATAGGAAGTCCCAGCATGTTTTATAGGCATGAAATGAAATTAAGCCCCTCCCCCCAAATTAAGGCCTATATTAAAACATGCAAAATGGGGAGGAATGGTGCGGGGGCTTGCCGTTAGGAAGTACTTTTGTTGCATACCCGGATATGGTGCTGCCTGTGTTGACTCCGATACGAAGTGCCCCACCAACGCCGAGGTCAACATCCAAGCTGTCGCCGCCTGCCCGAAGATGCAAGGGGGGGGGGATTAAGTCACCCCCGAAAAGACGGCCTAGCCATTTTTTCGGGGCTCAAAAAAAAATAAGACCCGGCCTTATTATATGAGAAACACGGTAGTATGTTCCCTCTTTTTTTTTTTTTTTTTGCATTTCCAACATATTGGACTCATTTTGGGGTACATTTTTGCTAATCTCGAAGGGGGTAAGTGCCACCTATAGAACATTTTATATGCATTTTCTTTATATGCTGTTGATTTTGTTAATTTGTGATTTCTGTTCCATATGATCTCCCAATCTGATAATTTTATGTTGTGTCCAATATTTTGACCCCATGCAATCATGCATCCTTTCACTACGTCTTCCTCCAATTCTACTTCCAAAAGGTATTTATATATTTTAGTAATATTTTTTTTATCCGGGCCTAATAAGATTTTGTCTAATTGTTGTGATTTCAGGTATATTCCGTAATCCTTTATGTCTTTTTATATCGACTTTGTATTTGGAGATAAGCCCATCAGTCTACTTGTAGCGCTTGTTCTTGGAGATCTTGTATTGTTTTTAAGTTCCCATGAATATCTAGTAGGTCTTTATATTTTAACATTTTATTCAAATCTAAATTGTTTGGATGGGTCATCGCTTCCATTGTAGATAGCCAGGTTGGGATTTTTATGTAATGTTTCTTTTTGACTTTGATCCAATTATTTATTAACAAATCTCTGATCAAGTGTCTATGAAAATATTGTTGTTTGGTGGGTCCTGTATCCCACAGAAAGGCATGCCATCCTCTCTGCAGGTCGTGACCTTCTATAGTAGTATTCTTTTATTCTTCAAATTGATCCAGTCTTTTAACCAAACTAATATTGCTGCACTATAATATAGTTCCCGGTTTGGCAATCCAAAACCTCCTCTGCTCTTCATATCTTGTAGTAGTTTCATTTTTATTCTGGGTTTTTTCCTTTGCCAGATAAACTGTGCTATTATTTTATTAAGGTTATTGAAGAATGTCTTTTCTAATTTAACTGGAATGGTTTGGAATAGGTATAGAAATTTTGGTAGTATAGACATTTTTATGGCAACTATTCTTCCTAGCAATGACAATTGCTTTTTCGTCCATAATTCTAAGTCTTTGTTTGTTTGTTGTAGTAGCTTGTTATAATTATTCTCCTTTATCGCCTTACATTGTGCTGTCAGCTATATATCCAAATATTTGATTTTTCTTGTTGTTTGCAGTCCAGGCGCTCTTTCTAATTCTGTTATTTTTAATTCTGTTCAATTTTTTGCTAAAAATTACGTTTTCTGTCTATTGATTTTCAATCCTGCCACAGCTTGCACTAATCATATTTCATATGTCATTGCACACTGTAACTTCTCTGAAAATAATGGGAAGATCCCGAAAACCTACGACATGTTACCAGACCTCTATTATGCCTACTTGAACTATCAGTTTGGCAATCTATTTGTGGGACAGGTGTGGTATTTCATCTTTCTTGAGAGTAGGTGCCTCCTGCTACCCCTGTGATTCCGTGCATCTTCTGCTTAAAGGCGTAGATGCTTTGAGGTTCTTCTGAGATAATCTCTGTATGCAAATAATGAGAAGAATATGGGGTAGGTCTCAAAGCAGCTTGATTTCTCATCAAATGATTTGCATGGGTATAAGGTTTTTTATAAGTTGCATTAAAATCCATGTCAAATTACATTACCATATTTTTCTACAAGGATTTATGTGGCATCAAAAATAGTGATTAAGCATATCTTGTCTGGATTCTTTTGTCCAGAGTGAGCTATAATATATTGCTTTCAGCATGTAATAAATACTTTTGAAAAAAAATTATCTAGCTAATCTTGACCCTTCAGCACTGTTTTTTAGCTTTTAAAAATGAGGTATAGAGATGTTTTACATTGCTACTACTACAGATGCACATCAGCTTGGAAAGAAGTAATATATACTGTATATTTTAGTATTTCTTATAGTAGTGTTGTTCACAGCAATAAAAACTCTTTGATAAGTCTCCATAATCTACTTTCCTATCATCACATTCAAAATTGCCTCAAATTAGAGGCTTGTAAGAAGAATACACCATCCTTGTAGGGCTCTTTTTATCTTAATTCCAATTGGATTTTGCAGCATATTCATTCTCTAATTATCTTAGCCTTTTGTCCCCCACAGCTACAGTTTGACACTGTTAGGCCTAATTACCATATTTACCTTTTAAACTTGTTTGTGTTTCTTAAATTATGAAAAATTATATTCATAAGGATCACATACAGGTGAAACTCGAAAAATTGGAATATCATGCAAAAGTTCATTTATTTCAGTAATACAACTTGAAAGGTGAAACTAATATATGAGATAGACTCATTACATGCAAAGCAAGATAGTTCAAGCCGTGATGTGTCATAATTGCAATGATTATGGCTTACAACTCATGAAAACCCCAAATCCACAATCTCAGAAAATTAGAATATTATGAAAAGGTTCAATATGCTAGGCTCAAAGTGTCCCACTCTAATCAGCTAATTAAGCCATAACACCTGCAAAGGGTTCCTGAGCCTTTAAATGGTCTCTCGGTCTGGTTCAGTAGGAATCACAATCATGGGAAAGACTGCTGACCTGACAGTTGTGCAGAAAACCATCATTGACACCCTTCATAAGAAGGGAAAGCCTCAAAAGGTAATTGCAAAAGAAGTTGGATGTTCCCAAAGTGCTGTATCAAAGCACATTAATAGAAAGTTATGTGGAAGGGAACAGTGTGGAAGAGAAAGGTGCACAAGCAGCATGGATGACCGCAGCCTGGAGAGGATTGTCAGGAAAAGGCCATTCAAAAGTGTTGGGGACTTTCACAAGGAGTGGACTGAGGCTGGAGTCAGTGCATCAAGAGCCACCACACACAGACAGATCCTGGACATGGGCTTCAAATTTCGCATTCCTCTTGTCAAGCTGCTCCTGAACAACAAACAACGTCAGAAGCGTCTTACCTGGGCTAAAGAAAAACAGACCTGGTCTGTTGCTCAGTGGTCCAAAGTCCTCTTTTCTGATGAGAGCAACTTTTGCATCTCATTTGGAAACAAAGGACCCAGAGTCTGGAGGAAGAATGGAGAGACACACAGTGCAAGATGCTTGAAGTCCAGTGTGACGTTTCAACAGTCTGTGTTGATTTGGGGAGCCGTGTCATCTGCTGGTGTTGGTGCACTGTGCTTCATTAAGTCCAGGGTCAACGCAGCCGTCTACCAGGAGATTTTGGAGCACTTCATGCTTCCTTCCGCAGATGAGCTTTATGCGGATGCTGACTTCATTTTCCAGCAGGACTTGGCACCTGCCCACACTGCCAAAAGCACCAAAACCTGGTTCAATGACCATGGGATTACTGTGCTTGATTGGCCAGCAAACTCGCCTGACCTGAACCCCATAGAGAATCTATGGGGCATTGCCAAGAGAAGGATGAGAGACATGAGACCGAACAATGCAGAAGAGCTGAAGCATCCTGGTCTTCCATAACACCTCAGCTGTGCCACAGGTTGATAGCTTCCATGCCATGCCGCATTGAGGCAGTAATTGCTGCAAAAGGGGCCCAAACCAAGTACTGAGCACATATGCATGCTTATACTTTTCAGAGGTGCGATATTGTTCTATGTACAATCCTTGTTTTATTAATTGCATGTAATATTCTAATTTTCTGAGATTGCGGATTTGGGGTTTTCATGAGCTGTAAGCCATAATCATCTCAATTATGACACATCACGGCTTGAACTATCTTGCTTTGCATGTAATGAGTCTATCTCATATATTAGTTTCACCTTTTAAGTTGCATTACTGAAATAAATGAACTTTTGCACGATATTCTAATTTTTTGAGTTTCACCTGTATGTAGCTCTTAAATAGGGCTGAGCTTACTTTAAAAACTGATTTGGAAGAACTATTTTTTAACTCACCCTAGCATGAAACCTTTTTACTATACATTAAAAAAGCCCAAGTTTCTTTCAAGCTTCCCCATAAATATATTATTAATTACCATTAATTAGATTTGTTGTGATTTGTCAACTCCTTATGTAGTAGCATATTCTTTCAGGCTAAATGTGAAAGCATGAAAAAAGACCTTAATAAGTAGGAGAGAAGTACAGGTTTTTCATGAGGATCTGACCATTCCTTCCAAATAATTTTCAAATTGTGCAGGGGCCCTGTTGTGAATGTTTTTCTGATAGTTGAAGCAACCAGTTTGAAAAATACTTTCACAGAATTTCCCTACTATTTCTTCCTGATGTTTTAAAAATAAGTTTTGGATGAAGATAGGAATAACACTGTGGCTTATATGTAATTAAAAATATCCTTCTTTCCATTTTTAGGGTGTTCCTGGACCGAGCATATTCAGAAAACAACAGTCCATTTTGCCAGCTGGATTCAGAAATACTTTCCTCACAACTACACTCTTCAGTCAATCAATTTGCCAATACCTCAGAAACAAATACCTCAGACAGATATTTCTTTAAAGACCTTAGTCAGATACTAGTCAATTTCAAATCATGTAGATGGAGGCATTTTAGGCCTCGGACACCATCCCTACATGACAGTGATGAATTTTCCTATAGGAAATTACACAGGAGTGTAAATCAAGCAGACACAGTACAACCTGGGACCCAGGCATGCAGTACCTCTATACAAAGTAAAAGTAGCAGTGGTTCAGTACATTTTGGTATGTTGATTTTCACAAACTTAATTCTAAACACACTTTTGGCAAAAGCCCAATATTTCCTCCATAATTTTTCTCAGTTGCTGATATTTATGTTGCATGTTTAAACACCATGCTAAAGTTAAAGATTAATATAGTAGATTTGGTCCAGTCTTACTTTGTACTTTAATTATAGCTATATTGATTCAGTCCCCCTATGATTCTATGTTTTTAAATGTTTCTTTAGTAGAATTTTATAGTTTGTTCTTTAAATTTGTTACGAGGGCTATCCACAAAATAGATTACGTTTTTGTCTGTAGCAAGAAGGGGCGGAGCTAGCGTGGCCATCTTTGGTCTGTGCGTCCGCTGCTCAGTCTGCATCTAGTCGTGCTAGTGGGAGGTTCGTATCGTTGCCCGTTATTTCACAGCAAACGTTTGAAATGTGTGCTGCAATTGAAAATCCCTCGAGTTGTGAGGTGCGATCAGTGATAAGGTTTTTGTTGGCAAAAAA